AATTTTTAAAAATCGTACATAAAATAAGTTAAATTTCATTATGATCTGATTTCATTATGATCTGCCACAATTATTAAGAATGGAACCGTTTAACCGCTCCATGGTTCTGGGCCTAATTATGTATCAGAACTATTTTTTAATGCTACGTACCTGAATTAAAGGTTAACACGGTTAAACGGTTAAACGGTTAAACGATTAGAAAAGTTTACTCCAGAGTACATGCGTATAAATAGAATAACTAAAAAATAGAATAGCTAAAAAAAGATTAATGCCCCTGAAATACAAAACCCTGAAGTGCGTAACGCACGTACGTACGTACGTACGTACTTACGTAGTGCTAAATGGATCATGAGGATGAGTTAGAATCTAGGAATGTGACAAGTTGGATTAAAAACAAAAATGTTATTTCGTGCATACGTATGTACTTATGAGAACGAGTTTCTAAAAGAATAATTAACGATAAAGAGTTCATAGATATATCATCTACTAAATAACGAGTAGTTATCAAAAATTAATAATTATTCCTAAAATAATTTTCAATGTGGTGAAATTATAGTTGAATACCACTTTTTTGATTGCTTGTCGCTATAAATAGTTAGCAAACATTACACTATTTTTTGTAAAAAGTTTTAATGAATTTTTACCCTGACAAATGGAATCTTTAATTCATTCTTTCATTTCTATATTTTTCATAACATTTGCTAGTTTCTCTAAGTTTTTTTTTTTTTAGCCTTCAAACGAACCCTTTCTTTTATTTTATGACCATTTTTTTAATCTTCTTTAATAATCTGAAATCAATTTTAATTGTTTAAAGAGAGACAAAATGCCAAAAAAATATAAAAAATTATTTAATCAGGATTATAAAAAGATCTTTATGTATTGTGCGAGAACCGCATCTCATTTTCGAGATGATACGTTTCCACCATGTGACACATCACTTTGGAAACATAAATCTATTCCTGAATATCATGAACCTGTTGAATGGAAAAGGTGTAAGGTATTTCAATTTAAAATGATTTGATTCAGTAATTCAGTATTTAATGATATAAATTATATTTACAGTATACATTTTCTTTTCAGGATATAACTTCAGATCCTCATTTGTTTATATTTAAAAATAAGCAATTAAATACTGATGTTGTTAAAGGGTAATAATCCATGTCAATTCATTATTCAATATATATATATATATATTATATATGTTTATAACATTGGCATTGGTAACATATATTGACGATATTTTATGACAAATTGTTAAAAATTGACTATATCTCATGACAAGTCTTGTTAATATTTCAGAGTTATTGGAGACTGTTGGTTTGTGGCAGCTCTAGGTGTTTTGGCAGCTCATCCAAAACTTTTACATAAAGTGGTTCCTAAATGGACGGCACAAGATTGGTGTCATAGTACTGATCCTGGTAAACAATTAGGTGTTTATAATTTTAGAGATACTGAACGGCATCCCGGTAAGCTTTTTTTTTTTCCTCCAATTCTATATATTGTTAAACGATTATTTTATTCATTCGTATATGTGTTTCCATCAAAAAAGGAATATTTCGTTTTAGATTTTATCGATTTGGTGAATGGATAGAAGTGGTAGTCGATGATTACCTTCCAACAAAGAATCGCCGTCTTATATATGCTCACTCAAAAAATCCTAAAGAAATGTGGTGTTCATTGCTAGAAAAAGCTTATGCGAAACTTTGCAAATGTTATGAAGCCCTGGAAGGTGGGTCATCTTCCGATGCACTTGTTGATCTAACAGGTGCTGTTCCAGAAACCATTCAATTACATCCAGATGATGATGAGGATAATATCCTGCAAAAAATGGGTGAAAAAAAATTTGTTGCTATGATACAAGGTGCTATTAAGGAAAGGTCACTAGTGAGTTGTTCCGTTGATGTACTCGAGGATGAGGTTCAACAAGAAAGGTTACCTAATGGTTTAGTTGTTGGGGTAAGTAATTAATGCTGTAAGTTATTAAAATTTTTATGTGATCTGTAGCTTTAGAGATAGTAATATTGATGTTTTTAGCATGCGTATGGAATTACAAATATACAAGTACTCAAAATTGGTGCCTTGTTCAAGAAAAACGAAGTCATTCTAATACGTCTGCATAACCCATGGGGTGAAGTAGAATGGAATGGTCCTTGGTCTGATAAATCACCAGAATGGCAAAACGTTTCCAAATCTAAGCGTAAACAATTGGGGTTTACTATTGCGGATGATGGTGATTTTTGGATGGTAAATTTTCTTTCTTGACTATTGATTATTGACTATTTATTGTTTTAATAATAATTGCTATATTTATTTATTATTTACATATAATATTTCAGTCTTTTCAAGATTTTGTATCAAATTTTTCTACTCTCACAATTTGTCGTTGTATTAACACATCATTATTTTCATTTGGTCGGCGTTGGCATAGTGCGATGTTTCGTGGAGAATGGTCAATAGAGAATGAAACAGCTGGTGGATGTATTAATCATGCAGAAACATTTTATCAAAATCCGCAATATTCTGTCAAAATTCAAAAACCTACAATCATAATAGTATCGTTAATGCAACAAGATGATTATGCTGAAATTGGTGCTGAAAAAATCACTATAGGATTTATTATTCTTAAGGTTGAATTAAATCGTAAATATCGAATTCATAAACCAACTTATGAAATCGCCGGTCGAGTTACCTATATTAATTCTCGTGAAGTTACTCAAAGAATTTCTTTAAACCCTGGTCATTACATCTTAATTCCTTCTGCTTATAATGCTGATGATGAAGGTTTATATTTCATGCGTTTGTTTTCTTCAAATCCTATAAATGTCAGATTACTTAAAAAAGATTCTCCAAAACGTAAATGGTATTATCCATTAATTTATTACGGAAAACCTTATTTTATTGGTGTTTATGTATTTTAAAATATCGATAAATAATCTTCAAAAAAACATTTATTCATTTAAAATTTCGATCAATTAATAATGTTTAACTTGTCTTTTTTTAATTTATAGTTGATACTATAACTGATAATAAACCTGTTATAATTAAAATGAAAAAGAAAACCATTACATTTCAGAAATTAAATGTTTTTCTAATCTTGTTGCACTTTTGCAATATTTGCAAGTAATTATTAGACTATTGCTGTATTAAAGTTTTTTTTTTTAACTTTGAACCGTAATAGAAATATTAGCTTTCTATGTAAAAGAAAAAAAAAGATTCATTTCAAAAATTTACAATTGGCAAGCTTTAGAATAATACTATATAATATTTAGTTAACTAAAAAAAAGTATATTAGGTCATAGTAATTATTCCAGACACAATTACATATAAGAATTTCTTGGCCAATATAATAAATGTTTTTATATGTAAATATTTCACCTCAGAAGTAACTCTATGTTTGCCATTTTAACCTAAATGACGAAACGAATTTATTTACTATGAAGAAAGGATCAGGTAATAAATAAACAAGATCACACTTTAGGCATCAAAGAGTATTATTAATCGACTTGAATCACATTCGTTTGCTTGTCCAGACAGTTGTGTTTCTCTTGAATTAATTTCTAAAAACAT